CCCCAGTTGTGGGGTGTCACAGTGCTTTCCCAGGCATTTTGCTCTGCTTCTGGGCCTAGGTCACCCGACCATCTCAGAGGACAAGCTGCTTCCCACCCCACCGCTGACGGCTACCACCCTGCCAGCCCCCAAGAGAAACGTGAGTGTCTCCTCATGCCTGCCTGTTCTGGGAGGGCGGCAGGAGCCACAGGCTGTGGTGGCTGGGCTGGTGGGACAGACTCGGGGTGGGCGGCTCATGCTCCCCTCTGTCTGACACTCATTCCCTGTTCCATCCGAACAGAGCTCATCACCCCTCAACCTTCCCTCCACTTTCTGTTGCAGGGGAAAATCTGTGCCACCTTTTCCTGCCAAGACCATGACTGCTTTGAAGGGCAGAAAGCTGTGGCTGGGTGCCATGAGGGTTTGGACTTCTGTGAGGTGGGTCCCAGAGCTGTGCCAAGGGTTAGGGTGCTGTCTTTCCTCAGAATGTAGGCCTCCTCCTCCTGCCTGGAGGCAGTTGGCAGCCCCACCTGGCCAGAGCTAGACCTGTGGAAAGCCAGGCTGTCAGGGTCAAGCACGCTGACCCTCTCAATCTGCATTATGCCAAAATCCAGGGCAGCAGCTGGAATTTTCCAAGTTTTCGTGACACACCTGTGTTTCTTATCACCCTTTGTTCACTGGGCAAGGGCTGGCTGAACTCATGGGGAGGAGCTAGGGGGCGGTGGGGGTCAGCTTTGCTTATAGCCCGACTTGAGACTTTCTGCCTCTGTAAGTAGGAAGGAGAGGATGAATGCTTCTCTCTCTCCTTGCAGCTGAAATGGTCCAGCTCAGGCTACATTGCAGGCTGCAGCCAGGCCTGCATGGCAGCGACCCCTCGGTGTCCCAGGGCTGTGGCCCAGCCCTGCTACCAGGAGTGCTGCCAAGCTTCGGCCTCAAGCAGCTGCCTCCAGCTCGATGGGAACCTCCACTTCAACCAGGTAGCCGCAGGGGCTGCCGGAAGCTCCCTGCACGGGGTTCTGGGGTGGTGCTGCTGATCCTCCACTATGCCTTGCTCCTGTAATTGCTCCCCTTGCTGGACCCCGCCGAATAGGGGAACAGCAGCACGAAGGCCCAGTAGCCCTGCCAGCCCCTTTTCCCCCCAGCAGGTCTGATTCCTGTAGCTGAATCTAGAGTAACTCAATTCACAGCTCTAGGTTCTAGACTTCCTCCCAACTGCTCCCTCCCAGAGTCTAGGCCCGAACTCGGTGCCCTCCAAGGGGATAGGGCCTTAGCCTTAAACCCCAGGAGAGACTAGGGTTTGGAAAAACAGAACCATGTGACTCCCCTCTCCTGTAGGAGGACCCTAAAGATCTACAGTTTCTTCACCTGAGAAATGCACCAACTCCATCCACTTTCCCCAGATTCTGCCAACCTTTGGCATTAAGAATAGGGTTGGTAGGGCCCTCCCTGGCGGGGCAACGGGTTAAAGTGCAACACTATGAAATTATCCACAGAACTGCAGCAAGAGTTCGATTCCCGGCCAGGGAGCTGATCCACATGGCGTGGCAGACCTCTCCTGTCTGGCCCACTGATCCCATCTGCAGTGTATTTCAGTAGATCCTCCTGTTCTGCTCACCACTCTGTCACTGGTGAATTGTCTCTCTCCCCCACCTCTGGTCTGTACTCCAGTTCTTATATGCATAAATAAATAAGTCTTTAAAAAAGAAAAAAAAAAATAGGGCTGGTATTCATTTCCTGCAGTGACCTCTCTTATCCTTTTCATCACTAAGGGTCTGAATCAATCCCCTTTCACCTCATTTGCATGCACGCATGCACACACACACACACACACACACAACTTTGAAACCAAATTAAAATAAACTTGAGCTCCATTTGTGCTGTGTATATTTCCAGGAAAAGAGGATGACTGGGAAGATTTGTTTCTGGAAGGAAGAGGTTTACATATGCAAAGTTGGAGTGATCTTTAGGGCAGAAATACCCAAGCAGGGAAAGCAGAAGGGCACTCTTTTTGGGCCAGAGCCCAAGAGAAAACACATTCATTAAAATAGTCCATTAATTGGCCCTCCCTGGTGGCACAGTGGGTTAAAGCACAGCACTAAGAAGCTAAAGCCACTTCCGCATGAGTTCGATCCCCGCCTGCCCTGGAGGTGACCACATGGCGTGGCAGACCTCTCCTGACCCGCCCGCTGCTCCCTCAGCAGTGTACTTCATCAATCTTCCTGTTCTCCTCCCCACTCTGTTTCTGGTGAAGTCTCTCACCGCCCCTGAGCCTCTGGCCTGTACCCCAGTTCTGTATGCACAAATAAATGAATCTTTAAAAAAAAAAAAGTCCATTAATTAATCACTAGGCAATAAACACATTCTGAGAGACAGCTGTGTGCCAGTACTTTGCTGACGTACTGAGGAAAAGACCTAAGCCAGCCTCCGGGAGCTTACAGCTTGGTGAATGGTGGAAAGACTGAGCTGACCCCTCTTGTCCACCTGCACCAACCTCCTTTCCTTGGATGGGAAAATCAACACCCCAAAGGAGATGGTCCTTAGACACGAGCCTGTGGCTCTGTGTGAATCCCGGAATCTGGAAAAAGGGTTTTGACAACAAAGCACATCCTTAAACTGGCTTGAGAACTGACGGGGACCCTCCCTAGTCCTGCCTCCTCCCCTAGAGAAGCTGAGTCTGCACATCTGTTACCCTCGAACTGCCCCACAGGCAGGCTGGTCTGCTGCCCCCTCGCCCCGCCAGGTATATACCTGTAAGGCTAAAGAGGTAACAAGGCAGAGTGTCACGGAGTCAATGACAACGCCGCTGGAGTCAGACTTTCAGCTGAGTTCCAATTTTGCTCCTTGCTAGTTGCAGGACTTCGGTCTGATTGTTTAACCCCTGTGAGCGTCGTTCCTTCACCTAGAAAATGGGGATAATGATTCTTCATGCTGTTCTCCTTAAGCTGAGACAGGATAGTTATCTAGGAAGGAAGAATTCCAGCAGAGGTCAGAATTGGTCCGCTGGAGTGAGCGGAGGTTGGGACCGAAAAGAAAACGCAACCTTTTCCTCCTAAAGGTCCACAGGTCCATCTCCCTTCCTGGAGCTCAGCTTCCTCGGGCAGCGGTGGAGCGATTAGGGCATTTGCTCACTTCTCCAGAATAGGGAGCCCAGCGTACCCCAGAATCTAAGGAGTTAACGGGAGTGGGAAGACCACCCCACCCCCACCGTTGGCCTGTGCATGCCGGGACTTGCAGGCGGACAAACCATCCTGCGGCGCGGGGGCTGCTGGGAAATGTAGTCCGTGGTGCGGGCCAGGGCCGCGGTGTCCCGCGAGCTGGCGCTGACAGCTCAGGAGGTAGGTGGCAATCGCAGGGGGTTGGGAGCAGGTGGGCAGTGGGGAAGCCAGGGCGGGGCTGGGTAGAAGGGAGCGGGCAAGCTGAGTGATGGGGTCCCCATCCTGTGGCCGTCAGAATGGGACATCTCCGTGGCCTGCTGCTGATGTAATTGGGGCCTGCAGGGTTGGAGTGAGGGCCAAGGAGCAAAGGGACGCTTTTCTTGTCTCAGGGGAATAGGAACAGAGTAGGGTCCTTGTCCACATAAGACTGTCCACCCCCAAGAGAAGCAGGATGTTCCCCCCCAACTCCAGGCAGACTCACCAGAGAGGCCCCAGCAAGACTAATACTGTCTCCCAAAAGGGAGGCTGTGCTCCATCCTACTAGCAATGGACCGGTGGCCCGCACCAGCGATGGGTCAGGCATCCCACCTCCAACAAGTGGAATGGGCCCCACTTGGGAGAACTGGGTGCCCGTCCAGACAACAGGTATTGGTGGCCAGCCCAATACCTCCCACCAGGGCCAAAGGGAGGACCCCTCTGGCTAGAGACTTTAAAAGGCCCTTGGAGGAGGAAGAGGATCAGTCTCCCACTACTTTCTCCCTGAACAAAGCAAGGCCTCTCCTCCTTGCTCCCCAACTCCCTAAAGCAGCTCCATCGCCTATCACCTCCTGGGTAACTTGTTGACCAAAGGGGATTCCCCTCTATCTTCTTTCCCAGTGTGTCTGCTCAGCAGGGGCCAGCATGGACCAGTCTGTGGCGATCCAGGAAACCCTGGCTGCTGGGGAATATTGCATCATCGTATCCTTCCAGCACTGGGACCCTAATCTTGGGCCAGCTCTGGCCTTGGGAGCAGAATGGAAAGTGTCTGCTGCCTAGCCCTTCTCCTTTCCCTCTCTTTGCCATGACAGGGAGAAGAAAACCAGTATTTACTAAGTACTTAGTCCTGAACTCTGCCTGGTGCTTTAAATCATGTCATCCTCCCACCTCCCATGAAAGTGGGGATTTTAACCTCCATTTCACAGGTGAGGGAGGCATGGGGAAGAGAATCACCTTTCCCAGGTCATACAGTGAATTGTATGGGCCAGGGAGGGGCAGGGAAAGTGGGCAGGCTGAGTTGGGAGATGCCTGGGTTCCCTTTTGCTTGGGTTTCCCTTGACTCTGAGCCAAAGGTGGTGCAAGGTGTGCTGTGTGAGGGAGACAGCCGGCAGAGCCGCCTGCTGGGACTGGTGCGCCACCGCCTGGAAGGTGGGGGGCAGGAATATGGGTAAGTGAGGGGTTCCTTCCTCGCCTGTCTGACCCAGGGTTAGTCTTCACTATACCCCCAACTGGACTTCAACCATCCCTCTAGGGCAGAGTCTGAATCTTCTAGAATAATTATAATAATGATAGTTAATATTGCTGAATGTTAATCCTTCTATGCTGAATTCTAACCTTTCTCATATACTAGCCTATATCATTCTCAAACTGTTGAGGAAGCTTCTTGAGCAGAAGCATTTTATTATATTGGTCCAGATCTTGAGCCTCGTGTCTAACTGCCTGGGCCCAAAGACTTCATTACTTTCGAGCCTTGTGATTTGGAACAAGTCCTTTTATTCCCTCAATTTCTCTAGTAGGTGGTTATTACATGTAATGTATTTAAAACACTGCAAAGCACACAGAAAGTGCTCGGTGTGGCCCATATGTTACAAAGAAAGAGAAAGAATTAAAAAATACTTGTCAAAGTTTTCGTAGGCAGAATGGGAGTCCTTCACTTTCAGAGCTGGGGTGGGGGAGCTGAGATGCTGTCATCCACCATCCATCGATCACACTTTACAGATGGAGAAACGGGTTCAGGGAGGGGAAGGGTGAGTACGCTTTACAGTTAGAGGTACTCACAGTGTAGAAGGCTATCAAGTATGTGTTTCCTAACAAAGCAGGTGCACACCAAAAGGAGACAAGTTTAGTTTTGATGACCTAGCCATAAAATTGTGTGCAGAAGCACAGTTTACAATAGCCAGATTATAGAAACAATCTAAGTGCCCCCAAACCAATGAGTGGATCAAGAAGATATGGAATATATACACAAAGGAATGTTACTCAGCAGTCAAAAAGACAAACCCATGCCCTTTGCAACCGCATGAATGGAGCTAGAAGGGGTAATACTAAGAGAAACAGGTCAGAAGGACAAAGAGACATATTGGAGAGTGTCACTAGTACACGAAGTATAAAGAAACCAAACTAAGGGTCAGACAAAGACATGTTTAAAACTAACCCTTGAAGACTGACTAGAGAACTGAAGCATCCAGAGAGAGGAGATGGGATGGGAGAGGCATAAGAACGTGATGAGGAGGAAGCACAATGCGCTGTGGTGGCGGACTATAGTGATGACACCTGACGGGGATCCTAATGTTCAGTTAAAATTAAGTAAATTTATATAAAAAAGTAATTGTGTGCTGAGCTGGACATCACCAGCATAGCCCTGGGGACCAACCAGGGAGTGTGAGCGCCCAAGGCCTCCACCCTAGGTCCATGGGCTAGCCAGTGGGCACTGTCCTCACCTCTGCTTCCTGCCCTTAGCCTCTTCCTGTACACACATCGGAGGATGGCCATTACCGGGGATGACGTCTCTTTGGACCAGATAGTGCCAGTCACTCGGGATTTTTCGCTGGAAGAAGGTGCCACAGCGGGGTGGTATGAGTCCTTCTCCTCTGGGCCCTGAGGACTAGGCTGCCTTGTTGGGGGAGGGGCAGTGGGAACAAGGACAACACTGGGCCCAGGGTGCACAATTGTTAACCCTTTTTGTTTCCCTCCCCAGTGTCCTCAGATGGTGAAGTCTACATTCTGGGTGAGTGGTCCTTTCAGTCTGGGTCCCAGGATGTGCAGGGAGAGGAGCAGTGTGGAGTGAGAGCACCCCTGGGAGCCTCACGTCGGCCAGCAGGACCCACCTCTGGGGCCACAGTTCCCAGTGCCGTCTGCCAGCTTGCTACACTGGGTGCTGCTATCACCTGGACTGTGGCCTCGTCTCCCCATGGGGCCTCTGCACATGCTGTTCCCTCTTCCTCAAAGCTTTCATCCCTCTTGTCAGCCAGCTCACTCTTCAGGATTTCAATTCACACTGGACTCTCCCAGGGAGACTTGGTTGGACTCCTGAAGTTGTGCATCAACTTACTGATGCACGTTCCTTGCCCTTGTCCTGCAGCTCCCTGCCACTCACAGGGATTTAATCATTTGTAGTGACTGATTTGATGTCTGACTTCTTTGCCAGGCTGTTGATGATAGTATGAAGTGATACTAGTAATAATAAGTGAATGGTTAACTAATGATTGTATTGTGCCAGGCACTATGCTAAGCCTTAAGTACATCCTATGGTGCTTTGCTTATAACTGTATGAGGAAATCACCGCTTGCATTCCCATTTTATTGCCAAGGTATCGAAGGCCCAGAGAAATTAAGTCATTATTAAGTAGTGGAGACAAGATGTAGGCTCAGAATCCAGACTCTAAAGAGCATATTCTTCATCACTCTGCCAAATTGTTCCAGTCATTCATCAGCTCAGCACACACCAGGTGTGCCCAGCTTATGCCCGTGGGGCCTGGGTGACAGCTGCAAGCAAAACACACGTGCAGTTGCCCTCCCTGAAGACATGTCTGTTCTCTTCACCATGGTATCTTCAGTGCCCAGCATGTGCCTGGCACAGTCAGGCAGACGAACCAATGGGTAGCCGCTCTTGTGTGACCCTTTGCTTTTCACTCCACTTGTGGGGGGTGGATGGATGACAGGCCAAGAGCTCATTCTCTTTCAGCTCTACCTAGTACTTCAAGGCTTAGTGACTCTCTGGAACCTCAGTCCTCTGTCAGAGACCAGCTCCAACCTTTGGGGTGTCTCGAAGCAGCACAGGCAGGACCCTAGGATGGGAAGGCCTCGGTGAGCGGATATTCCAAAAAGGGGGAGAGGGGAACGGATGTGAGGAAGACACGGGAGTCAGGATAGGGTGCAAGTCTTCCTGCTTTTCCTTCAGCAGGTCTTTATTTATACTGTGTAGCAAGTAGTTATTTGTAATAACAATAGGGTAAATTAATGAGATATCACCATAAAACATTCTCAAGGATAAAGGGAAAAAACATTCTTCTGTTTACAATTTATGGAATGCTAAATTATACGTTTTTGTGACAGTTATCATATATACAGCTGTCTACTTATCATTAAAGGAAGAGGGGTCTGGGAAAGGGTGAGCTTGTTAGCAAAAGGTTGTTAGGGGTCTTGGGGTAGTAATAAATTGTGTTAGCAGTGTTATCAGTGATTATCCAAAGAAAAGTTAGTGGCTAATTTAAGGCTAGCAGAGAGTAGTTAGTGCTTGTTTTAAAAAGGAGTAAATTAAGAGAAAGTTATACAGTTGTATATCAAACAACACCTGTGTAGTCAAGGTTAAAATGTGTCCATTATGCCCTGGGAGCCTTATCTAAAGTTTATTTTTATTCAAAGAAACCAATGAAGCTTCCCAGGAGTTTTTTATGTCCTGGGGTCTTATTTCTCCTGGGGCTTGGCTTTTGTCTCAGGAGACAGAGGAATTTCTCACTCTGGGGCAGCTTGCCTGAACCAGCAGCTGCCTTTTGCAGCTAAATCAATCCAGTTGTAAACTGAATTGTTGCTCAGAATATTTTGACATTATGTTTATACAAAAAAGGGAGGTCATAACATAAGTTAGCAGTGGACAGTCTGATTTTTCAGAGCTTATCCCAATCCACCCGGAATCTATCAGACGATGGACGTTGCATAGCTTGTGTCAGTCCTCCCCCTCTGTGGAGTGAGGATGATGTTAATTTGGAGCAGAGGTCCCTTATTTCCCCAGCGGCTGTCTTTAGGGAATTGCTTTCAGGCTGAAAGGGCTTAGGCGTCTTGGACTGCTGATTCTCCATTTCGGGGAGTCTGTCCTTTAGGTGCATCTAAGTACTTAGCTCCTGAAGGCTAAGGATTCATTTCCTCCTCTCTGTGCAGGCTCAGATGTGACTGTCCAGCTGGACACAGCGGAGCTCAGCCTCGTATTCCAGCTCCCCTTTGGTTCACACACGAGGACGTTCCTCCAGGAAGTGGCCAGAGCCTGTCCAGGTAGGCAGGACTCAGGCTCCAGAGAGCAAAGGGCTGGCTGGGCCTGATCTCTCTCCACTCCCATTGACTTTGCACCCTTTGGACTTACAGGCCCAGTTTCTATACCTTCTCGAAGCTGCTGGCACGAGGCTGCAGTGCCCGAGGCTGCCGCCTAACTATAGTGTTTGCGTTTCAGTTTTCTCACTCTGGACCTGAGTTTTAACCTCTTTGCCCTCCTGGCCCCAGAGAGAGCTGCACAGGGTGGACTGTGATTCTCATGAAGAATCTCTTAGACTTTGAAGGTCCGCAATGTTTAGGCCACATCTTTCTCTCTGCCAACCACAGCCAGAACAAAGGGAAGTCCATCACGTGGGCTCTGCCCTTGAACCCTGCTCTGTCCCTCTCTGCAGCTGAGAAAATGGTCTAGCTTTGGCCTATCAATGAGAGGTTAGTGGCATCTGGGACAGTATTTGTTTAGATTAGGACAAGAGCCAGGCAGGGAAAGAGAGTTTGTCTAGAGCAGAGGAGTCAACCACAGAACATGCAAATTCAAGTCCCCAGGTGCTGGGTTGACATTATTCCCTAACACCAGTACTTACTTCCTCTCCAGCTGACAACTTGTCTCTGAGGGAAGAAGGGGAGGCGTCCCTTGACTTGTGGTTTCACTGGAGCCTGAACACCAACTTAGCTTGCCTGATGTGCCAGGACTTTGAATGCAAATTGGGGTGGGGAGGGCAAGGAAGTAGAAATAAGATTATAGAGCCTTGAATGCCCGGTAAAAAGCGGAAAGATTATTTTACAAGCAGGGGAGTTTTGATCTGCAAATCTTTAATGATTGTGACTTATTTTATGATTATCAGTAGTAGTTATAGGAGGGGTAATATGGTCATAAAAGCAGAGTGTGGACTTTGAAGCTACCCAGCTTCTTGTGTTTGAAACCTATCTTTGCTGGGCCCTAGCTGTGTGACTTTGGGCAAGCCACCTTACCTCTCTGAAACTTACGTTATTATTTTTTAAAGATTTATTTATTTATGCATACACAACTGGAGTACAGGCCACAGGTGCAGGAGCTGTGAGAGGATTTACCAGGGACAGAGCAGGGAGCAGAACTGGCAGATAAATGAAGTACACTGCTGAGGGGAGCAGTGGGCAAGTCAGGAGAGGTCTCCTGTGCCATGTGTCACCTCCCTGGCCTAGAATTGAACTTCCACTGAAGTGACTGCAGCTGTGACCTTCACAATGCTGTGCTTTAACCCGTTGTGCTACCAGGGAGGGTCCTGAAACTTACTTTTGTAGACTTCTATATATAAATATGTCTTCCTCATGGGTTTGTGAAAATTAAATAAGATAATATGTGTGAAAGTGTCTAGCACCTACTGGGAGCTCAGAGAAATTTTTCCTGCATCAGTACAAGAGGGCTTATAACTTAGCTAGTATTCGTTGTTGACATCTTGTGTGCTAGGCACTGTTCTCATAACTTTCCCCATATTATCTTATGGGTACTCTTAGAAGGTAGGTATTATCAATGCCTCCATTTTATAGGTATGGAAACTGAGGCTCAGAGAGGGTAAGTTTGTGTCTTGCCAGAGTATATAACTGGTGAACGATTGAGCCAGAGTTGGGCAATATTAGCCTACTGAGAGCTCTTAAGTTTTGTTCTAGTGTTTCCCATGCTCATGCCACCCTGACCCATATAAATGGTGCCACAGGCCTCCACAAGGGAGGTGAGGTTTAAGCTGAGACTTGAAGGATGGATGAATTTTCTCCCAGGCAGGCAACAGTTAAAAAGAGCAGTTGTTGGGAGAGAAGAGAAGTCCTTTGGTCCTTTAGGTATGAACCTGGGGTAGGAGGGTGTGGAAAGAGCTGAGCCAGCAGAGGACAGCAGAGGCCGGCAGAGGCAGCTCAGGAAGAGACTTAAATCACTAACAAAGAGCTTGAACTTTGCCCTATAGCTTGTGGGAAGCTGTAGAATTTTAAATCAGGAATGACAAGGCAGGAATTGCCTGTTAGAAAAGCTCTTCTGGCAGCTGGTGTGGAAGGGTAGAAGAGTCTAGAATAGAGAGGTTTAATGGAATGTATTGCAATGGTTCGGGTATAAAACGTGAGCTTGGTCATAGTGATGGGGATGGAAAAGGGAGGATGAACTGACGAGGTCATGTTGATGAGGATGAAGGTGCCATGGGGACAGTGAGTTGGGTTGTTCACTTTATCCCCAGTGGGTATAGGAGGGCCTGCACATAGTAGGCACTTAATAAATGTTTGTTTAGTGAATGAGTAAAGCATGGTAGTCAGCTATGGGAATGCAGGGTAGAGAGGAGTTGAGCAAGACTTTCCTCTTAGATTTAGTATCTGTCCATCAGATCCCTTACCTTTCTTTCTCCTGAGAGGTCTCTGTTGGGGTAACCAGTAGGGAAACTGTGCTCACTCAAGTCCTCCAAGCTGTTGTCATGATGTGGACTTCCTCAGGGAAGGTGCCTGGGTGAGGGAGGACAGGTGTCTTAGATATCCATCAGCCTCATCCTTTCATTTCACAGATAAACCTTGAGTCCAGGATGAGGTTATAGGTGAGAGGAGCTCATTTTGTTTCCATCCAGACCTTGGTGGATAATGTTGTGCAGCACCAAAGGCCAGGGAGTGGAAGTACCTTACCAAAACACCACAGTTAAAAACTAAAACAAAACAAACTAGAAATCTGACTGTGCAACTTAGATTAATAGAGTAGGAGGAAGGGGGACAACGTGAATGGGAGAAGGGGGGTCCAGAGGACTATGATGGATTATTGGTGCTTTAGTGGTAGGGAGAAATCATACATAGTATTGTAAACCAATGTTACCTCAGTAAAAAAAAAAAAAATATATATATATATA